TACATAGCCCCTACTGCTACCAGGATCCCCATGAAGAACCCCTCACCCCACAGGAACTCCTCAACTAGTGGATTTGGGGAGCTTGAGGAGTGATATATGTTCCCCCCATGCCCTCCCAGGCTGGAGGCTGGGCCAGACCTGGAGCACAATTGCTGGCACTGAGAAGATCATGGCCTCGTTGAACACGGGGTTGGTGTCGCCCCTCTTCACTGCTGTCTTCTTCTTGCTGATCTTCCTCCCATCCTGCAGCAGGTACACCTTGACAAAGGGATCTGCTCATGGTGGGGAGAGAGACCCTGGGATCAGTCACACATGCCCCTGGCAATGTGGAGAAAGGGGAGGGACCTTTTCTGGTGGCCCTTCCCAACAGGTCTATCCTCCATGAGAGCCACTCCAGTAGAGATACCTGTAGTCAGTAAGCTAAACCAGGACAAAGCCCACCCTCAGCCCACCACGGGCCCCCCGTGCCCACCTGGCACCCCCCACTCACCTGCAGTCACCTTGCCGTTGGTCCACACGAGGTTCTTGGCTTTGACTACCACCACCGTGAGCCGCTCAGCCGTGGGCAGGTAACTCAGGGAGAGCAGGATCTCCCCCACCGTGTCCACCGCCTGCGGGACACAACGTCCCGTCACCCACCGACCCGGCCACAAACCCCCAAACCCCCGTGTGGGGGACAGACCGAGCCCTCAGCTCACCTTGTTCATGTCCTGCAGGTAGAGCCAGGCGTTGAAGGGGCGCGTGGCCAGGTCCAGGTCGGAGAGCTTGAGCTCAGCCACACCAGTACTGACGTTCCTGTCATCCTCGTCGATGCCAAAGACGGAGAAGCGCAGACTGTTCTCCTCCAGCGCCGCTGGATCCAGCGGGACCGAAAAGCGCTCGTCAAAGGCCACGGCATAGGCACTCCGCTGGATCTGCCGTGGGAAGAGGGAATCCCTGCCAATCCAGCCCTGGCACCTACTGATTTTAGAAGCCGCATCCAAGACCCAGATTGTTTCCCTCATGGAGATTGCGAGGAGCACATGGCACCCCCAACCCAATGGAGAGGGAGGTCCCAGCCTTGATGGGGTGAACAATTTCCCACCTGACCATAGCAGGTGTTATGGCTAAAAATCAGGGCCATGACATGCCTCAGTGCCTGTTAATTCTTTTAATGAACAAATTAAGGTTGGTCCAATTGTCTCAGATACATCCCAGTGTTCTGGGAGCTTGGATGCATGTCCTGCTTGGCCACACCAGGCTACAGGATTTGGCTGAGGGGTTGTAACCCAGCAGCTCTCTGAGCCAGACACACCACAACCTCTGAATAAGGCCAATGGGAACGGTGCTTTTTGGCAGTTATTATTCCCATGGCACACCATTCCTTGGAAGCAGAGGCAATAGAAGCTCCCGGGACCCATCAGGTACTGATCCCTAAGTGCTGGGGGGGAACTGCTCTGAAATCAGGGATTTAGGGATTTGTTTTCCCCTACTCCAGCCATGTTTCTGCATCCAAGGTACCACACACAAATCAGGAGTTTGCCCTGTGGGATGGAAAGCTACAGCCTTGGATGGCATGGAGCAAAGCAGAGCCACCAGCTCCCCACAGCCAGCCAAATCCATGTGCTGTGGTGGAGGAGTGACCCTGCTGTGGGATTGGGGGCTCAGCTCTGCACCCCTCAGCCTGTGTCACCCCAAAAATAGCCAGGGGAGCCAGTTCATCTCCTCCTGAGGACTCTCTCCTGTCTGTCTGCTCCATCTGTGCTCCATCCTGGGATGAAGGCAGCATCTGCCATCCCTCTTCCTAGTCCATGCACTCCCACTGAATCCCACCACTCTCTGGAATCCTGAGGTGCTAAAAAGTTACTCTATGGGAGAAGCAGATTTTACAGCCCTATGGCTGCCTGCATCCCACATTGTATTTTGGGATCTCTGGATAAAATGCAGCTGGAATAGGAACTGCTATTTAAAACCCCTCCATAAGCACCGCAGAAACTCCAACTGTGCCCTTATGTGTGGTCTCAGGGCAGCTGAGGAGGCAAATAGTGCTGGTGAATTATAAATAATGATGCTAAATAATAAATATCTCCAGAGCATAAATCAAGAGCCTGAGATTTGGATGGAAAAACGGACCTAAAGGGCGCTCTGGAAATATTTTTGAGGCAGCGGCAGGGTTGTACAGATAGAGCAGCACCTCCACCCTCAGAGAAGTGCCTCACTGGGATGAAGATTCCTGCTCCTTTCTGGAATATCCCAATTAATTCAAACTGGCTGTTCCTGGCTCTGCAAAAAGGAGCTGTTGGAAGAAAACTGAGGCTTCTGCTTTTCAAGAGCAGCGGTTTGGGCACTTAAAAGGGGAGGGTTTGCCCCACATCCACCCCTGCTTGTGGCCCTTCTGGTGCTGCCACACAGATCTTCCAGTGCCGCTTCTTGCATGGGGAGGGAGAAGTTTAGGGGCTGCTGTGGGAAGGAGAGGGGCTACAGGGACTCTGGAGGCTGTGGGGCCATGGAAGACATGGACAGAACCTGCCCAAACCTCTGGTGCCCCCCAAATCCCACCCCAGATCTCTCTCTCCATTTCCCACAACATCCCTGGAGCAGAGAAAGTTGAGCAGGAAAACTTGCCTCCAGCCACACCTGGAGATGACAAAGCCTGTATCGCAGCCAAGGGAAGACATTTCTACCTCTACTGTGTCTCTGATGTGCAAACCCATCTGGGACTCCCCCAAAATCCTGTGCCAACCACATCCATACCGGGCACACCTGGAGCTCCCTACTCCCAGACATCACCACTGCTCTGGGGAGCTGAGGCCCCCCAAAATCCTGTGCTAATTGCATCCATCCCTGGCACGCCTGGAGCTCCATGCTCCTCAAACCCCACCACTACCTTGGGGAACGTGGCCAAGTGATGGTGCCACCCAAAATCCCACACTCACCCGAGAGATGCCGACGATCTGCTCGGCCGGGAGGAGGCTGATGCGCATGAAGCAGGACTCGAAGCGCGCGTCCTCCTTCTCCAGCAGGTCCTTGCCCTGCAGCAGCGTCACGTGCAGGGCAGCTGCCTTTGCGTCATACTCCATGGACACCTCCACCTGCCCCACTGTGAAATCCTGCCCGAAGTTGTTCCCGATGGACGAGATGGAGTTGAGGGAGTCGGCCGAGATGGATTTCCTCAGGGGGCCGTAGTGGGCCAGGCCCAGGTCTCTGCCCATCAGCTCCAGGCTGCCCAGCTCGTGGATGCTCTCGAAGGTGTCGTCTGCCCTCAGGCTGCTCTTGCGGGCGGGTGAGCTCCTCTCTGGAGCCCTCTGTGTGCCCGGGGCCATCCCTCGCTGCCAGGGAAAGGAAACCAGGCAATACCATCGCATCCCTCGGTGTGGAGCCGGACCGCTGGGCTTCTCCAGAGCCTCTTTGGATGCCTCCCAGCCCCTGCCTGGCCTCAAGCTGCCGCGGCAGCGAGCCTGGTGCCTCCTGCAGCTCCCAGCTCTGCTGAT